AATAGTAAATGAGTTTAATTATCTTGGATTATTATTAAATTATAACGGTAAATTTACTAAAGCACAACAGAAGCTGGCAGAACAGGGGAGAAAAGCTCTTTTCAGTGTTCAAAGTAAACTAAATGATTATTACTTTAATACTCAAACAAAATGCTCCGTTTTCGACACTTACGTCAATAGTATACTTTCGTATGCTTCCGAAGTATGGGGTTTTAACAAAGGAATTGATATAGAAAAAGTTCATGTACTGTTCTGTAAAAAAACTTTAGGGTTAAAAAAGAATGCTAGTAATAAGCATCTTTATCTTGAACTAGGTAGATTTCCCTACCATATTTTAAGAAAAATAAAAATTATGAAATATTGGTTAAAGCTGAGAAAAACAGAAAATTGTATTCTTAAGACGTGTTATGAAGAAATGGTACAGGAAAATGATGAATGGATTGTAAACATTAAAACAGAACTGGATAAATTAGGATTAAACTTCTTGATGCATACATATTATGATGAAAAATATGCATTTAAACTTATTGAACAAAGAATGAAAGATATTCACATTCAAGAATTAAGAGGAGAAATTAACATTATGCCCAAAGCTAATTTATACAAATATCTTACAGATATGCATTGCCTTCAATATTACCTTAACAAGCCTTTAAGTGTTAAAAATCGAGAAATAATTTCAAAATTTAGGATGTCTGATCACAATTTATATACTGAAAGGGGTAGATACACGAATGCTGGTAGAAATGATAGAAAATGCATATTATGTAATCAGGATGAAATAGAAGATAAATTTCACTTTATTTTACAGTGCCCAACATATGAAAATGTAAGAAAGAAATATATTAAAAGATATTATTATCAAAATAGTATCTAGTGTATATAAATTAATACAACTATTTAGCGCTCAAAATGTAAAAGAATTAACGGGTCTTGGAATTTTTTTAAGAGAAGCAAGTCATATACGGGAAAGTAAATTAGAACTATTATATTAATTTTTTAAGAGTGATTTACTATGTCACAACAATATATATATATATATATATATATATATATATATATATATATATATATATATATATATATATATATATATATATATATATATATATATATATATATATATATATATACATTTAATCTTAATGTCATTTTAAATTGTGTGAATATATTGTAATATATATTATATATATTCTCTTCTTTAGCCATGTCATTTATGTATATACTATATGTAATTACATGTATGTAATTATGTTTATCTAATGTATCTGTTGATACAAGGAATAAAAGAACTGAACTGATTCCACCTCTGATGTTTTTTTTAGAGGTCCGTGTTTCCTTTACTCCCGATTTATATTGTTTCAATGGACTTTCGAGCTCGTTATCTCCATATTTCATTTTAAAAAAAAAAATTTTTTATTTTAAATGAATGAAGCCAGGCACTGAATCCCGATCAGGCTTTTTTCTGTTATCATGGAATGCAATTAAAAGTAATAAACAACGTTTATTCAGTGATCAAAGTGTTATGAATAGCTTTAGCTCTGCTGGCATATTTTGAGTGGGGTCTGTCAGCTAACATCGTACTCGGCAATGCTGGTACCGGACATCCATGACTGTACCAAACTCCATACAGTGTCAATTCTCCGGGACTACTTTCCCTACGAATAACGATATGGAGTTGTAGCGTAACGTAATACTGAGCTGTCTGGAGCTTGTGACTGTACCTGTTCACAAATATCAAAAACGGAATGTCAGAGCAAGATTTTCCGGATTGTTCAACGTATTTAACTATATGTTGTTAAGTATGGATTGTTTTTTAATGAAAAATACGAATATGGAGGAAAGAAAATTTCTGATTTCTGATTTCAAATAAATCTACTTTATGGAAGGCTGTAATCGCCAAAAGGTAATGATAACTGGCTTAGTGAATATATCGAGGAAAATATATGTAAACTTGACTATGCCTAAATCCATTGTATGGATCGCTATAATCTCAGTATACCTGTGCCTGATATACAACATACACACTACTACTGACTCAACCCGCGCTTGATTAATAACATCCACGACACGAAATTCTGTGGATTTTCTCCGATTTAGATTTAGACTGAATGTTGTTTATAAGGCACAGGTTCAGTCATGGATGTAAAATAAAGTGTGTGTTCCAGACAGGTACAGTCATGGATGTTGTTTATAAGGCACAGGTACAGTCAGGGATGTAGAATAAAGTGTGTGTACTAGACAGGTACAGTGATGGATGTTGTTTATAAGGCACAGGTACAGTCAGGGATGTAGAATAAAGTATGTATATATGCACAGGTACAGTCGTGGATGTTGTTTATAAGGCACAGATACAGTCATGGATGTAGAATAAAGTGTGTGTTCCAGACATGTACAGTCATGGATGTTGTTTATAAGGCACAGGTACAGTCAGGGATGTAGAATAAAGTATGTATATATGCACAGGTACAGCCGTGAATGTTGTTTATAAGGCACAAGTACAGTCATGGATGTAGAAAAAGTGTGTGTATTGGACGTGTACAGTCGTGGATGTTGTTTATAAGACACAGGTACAGTCATGGGTGTAGAGTAAGAGATTTATACTGCACAGGTACAGTTAGGGATGTTGTTTATAAGCACAGGTACAGTCATGTAGAATAAAGTGTGTGTACTGGACAGGTACAGTCAGGGATGTTGTTTATAAGCACAGGTACAGTCATGGATGTAGAATAAAATGTGTGTACTGGACAGGTACAGTCGTTGATGTTGTCAATCAGGCACCGGTACAGTCATGGTGTAAAATTTCTAGAGTTGTCAGGACAGGTAAAGTTGTGGATGTTGCATCCCACGAAATTCCTTGCGATTTTCCTTGAGCTGAACTCAATAAAGGTGCTTTTAACGCTATTCACCGATATTCCCTATAGATTGACTCCAGACAGCAGAATCTTAGAGAGGTGGATTTAATAAAAATATTTACTAATACAAATATTTTCTTCGGATGTTATCGATAATTATAGCATTAATTTCCTTTAATATGATCAATTATTTTAATACCATACCCTGCATATTTCAGGTATCACACCAGGTTATCGACCAGTCAAGATGTTAATTGTGCCATGCATATAAAATTAATTTTTATTTCTTTTGAGATTTTTTTTTTTTGGGGGGGGGGGGGTTCTTCCAGCCTATTTTTACAACTTTGATACCTGTGCCTAGTAAATTCTATGTACTTTGTAAATAAGTAAAGGTTTTTTGTCAGGAACTATTCTTTTTCAGGGCATAGGGGGCTACTTCCTGTGGTGCACTTGAGATGTTTACATATAGGCCTAACACATTGAAAACGCGTGGATCAGCCCTTTCCACCCGTATAAATCGTGAGACACATATTTATGGGAAAAAAACCCTGTGTTTTTCATTGACACAACTTGTGTGATCAATGAAATGGATGAAATTAATAATATTGTGACGTACTTATACTTTCTAAGATAAAATTAAGGATTATAAATTAATTCCAATATTTATTTTAATTTCCTTTTTTATTTTAGTTTGTTTATTGTTTACTCGTATATTTTCAATAATTATACTAGCAAGTTTCATTTTAAATTCATCATTATTATTGAGCACGTAGGATATTGAAATCATGCCCCCCCCCCCCCCAAAAAAAAAAAAAAAATTAAAGACCTGGCTCATATTGTTCTCTGAACATAAAGTTTTAAAACTTTAATTTTAAATCTATAAAATTTTGGATCCTTCCCTAATCACTGCTGACATCGTTTGTCTCGGTATCACTGTCATGGGTAATATAAAGATTAGCGCGCTTTGATTGAATTCAGTCTAAATCTAAATCGGAGAAAATCCACAGAATTTCGTGTCGTGGATGTTATTAATCAAGCGCTGGTTGAGTCAGTGGTAGTGTGTATGTACGGCACAGGTACAGTCGCAGATGTTGTATATCAGGCACAGGTATACAGTCATAGATATACAAAATTTACGCTGTAGTAAATGTTACTTTTTAGAGATTATAGCGATCCATGCAATGGATTATAGGCATAGTCAAGTTTACATATATTTTCCTCTATATATTCACTAAGCCAGTTATCGTTACCGTTTTGGCGATTACAGCCTTCCATAAAGTAGATTTATTTAAAATCAGAAATTTTCTTTCCTCCATATTAACACATTTCGTATTTTTCATTTAAAACAATCCATACTTAATTAACAACAAATTGTTTAACAATACGTTGAACAATCCGGAAAATTTTGCTCTGACATTCCGTTTTTACTATTAGTCAGCAGGTACAGTCATGAATGTCCGGTACCATTTACGAGTACAGTTGCGGATGATAGCTGACACCCACTGTTGCATATTTTCCATGATGCACTACAGCGCGCATCACGGAATATGCCAGTAGAGCAATCGCTATTCATAACGCCGTGTATTCGCTGAATAATATTGTTTATTTCTGAAATAAATGCCCGATATTTTAACACACTTTACAAGTAAAATGTATATCTGATGTAGATAAATACCTAGTATCGCTGTAAATCAGGACAGCCCCCCCCCCCCCCCAAAAAAAAAGCATTACCTTTTCCTGTGTTATGCAAGTGCATACAAGACGTGCTGCTGGGTTGGGTATGTTGTATTTTTAGGTTCTTTATCTTCGAGAAAGATGTTAAATTCCATAATTTAATATATTTCGGATTTTAAAGGTTTTTTGATAGATGAAAGGAGTTTTATATGTCAGTAGCATCCCCTCTGATATTTCGCGATTGTATCCCCAACCCCCCGTAAGCACGTTACACTCTAATACAATGCAATATTAAAGTTTCTTAACAAAATTCAGTTAATAATTTGTCAATGGATTGTCATTTATCATCATTAGAAATTCAGTTTAGCAAAGCTTGTTATTTTAAGCTATGTTGCCTTTTTCATTTTTCTACCAATACACTCCTTTAGAAGATTTTGAAATCATGGCCTTTCCAAACTAAGAAAACAACGATAAAGTTTTATTACTTTATTAGCAGAATTAACATGCTTTACAAACTTCCCTCTCAGCTCTACAACAGAGAACGTCATTTGATGTACAGGGATTTTGTTTAACATCACAGCAAAAACTTTATCGGCTCCAAAATAAAGAGCGTCATTGGGATCATAAATTATTGCTGCGAATTAATGTTGCATAAATGTCCATCCTATCAAGCAATAGCTTTTAAGCAGTATAAAACAACATCGATACAGAACAACAAAAAATTAAAACATAAGCTGTTTTTGTCTCAGTGCTGTATTCAGCACGTCATTGCAAAAGACAGTGGATTATAAAAAAAATCTGAAAAATGTAAAAATTAATTTGAAAAAAAATTGAACTTTTATCAAGTGAATAACACAAACCCACTCCAAGGTAATTCTAGTCGGCACATTAATAGAGTGCGTCATTCTAAAATGATCGGGGGAGAGTGGGACTGACATGTTACGAAGATCCCGCATCAATTCATTGATTTGTAATGAACATCATTGCTAGGGTCTTCGGATTATGATAATTTGATGATTAAAAAACAGTGTATGATAACTCATGAAAAAGAAAAAAAGAGTGGTGTCTAAAACTCTGAAAATATGTGATGTTTATCCCGCCACTCATTTTCAATACTACAGGAATATTAGCATTTTACTGGTATTCATTATTTTTTTGCGGGGGAAAAATCTGTTCGTTGTATATAACAAGGATTGGAATGGGTGGGTTATATCTGCATAATGAAATGGTTAAAAAGTTATCAGTGACCCATTTAAAAATCTTAACTTTTACTCTCTAAATTAACGTTATTAGCTAATAAATACATTGTAATACTGCATGATTAAACAATGAATACTTTCGGTATATGACTAGCTCTTGTCACATTTTATAAAATATATATATATATATATATTATTATTATAGCAAAAAATTAATTTTTCCTACATTAACTTCAGTCTATATTAAATCAAAGATCGAAAATGTGCACACCCTAAACATCACATCAAATGTTCTTAATATTTAGATTAGTCAAAATTATATATAGCTATATATAGCACAAGTAACAGGAATCAAACCCTCAACAAAAGTATGTGTTACGGTAAAGATCTACTCCACTTTATATAATGGTTAACCAAGGAATTATAACAAAGCACACACAATCTAGAGGTAAATAGAATGTTGATGTTGTTAATAAAGTCATTCCGCATGCTGAACATAGTTTTATTCGTTCATAACGTGCGACACAAAAATCCTGTCAGCAGGCACGATTATCGATCTCATGCCTTTTTTGCGTTGGAAATAATTTTTTTGGAGCCATTGGAGCACAGTTTTGTACATGTTATTGATTGAATCAGGTGGCAATAAGAAGAGACCACCACAAGAGGCTCAGGGGGTTCTAAAATAAGCAGCACTCTCTCTTTATCACGTACTTATCTCTGCTGGATTAAGTATGAATAGTCTAATATCAACAAAGCTGCTAAGAATTTGTCAAACATTTTTGTCTACTTAAGTGCAAAACCGGTGTCCCCCGTTTCAATTCAACGAACCTACATATGTATTAAGAAAAGTATCTACATACAATTCTTTGAAGAAAAAAAATTGTATATTTCCCTGAATCACAATGTAAAATAAAAATATCATGTAAAATGAGACATATTCAGCTACAGGTAATTTTATAGTTAAACAAATATTTCCTCTATCACATCAATTCATGATAATTTCTGTAAAATAAGTCGTTTATGTATTAAGTGACATTTAAGCACCGATTACAAATACCCATTGACTCTCTGAACAGCTCTCTTCTGAATATTCTCCTTACTAACAACATTTCCAATCAAGATATTGTGGCGCTTGCCCCTTTTTCTTCTTTTTTTCCCCGATGTTTTCTTCGAAGAAAATATTATAATTTTATTAATTAAGTTTCAATAATTTCCTCGCTTATATCCTCAGAATTTTAGACACCATTCACCTTTCCTTCTTTTTTGTTTTGGCGAATCAAGCAACTTTCTTGGCCTCTTTGTGACGACGTTCGTACTCCACAAGCGCCTTTGTTTTTACTCCACCCGCTTTCATGAATGGACAGAAGGTGTTAAATAACTTGTCCCAGTGATTGAAAAATGGTTGGAAGTTGGTCATTGGCTTTAAGTGGTGCATATCATGTTTAGGGGCACCGCCAACCAACCCGAATGGCTCCCAGTTATGGATACAAAAAGGAAACTCGTACCCAATATGTGCCTCCACACTGACAACGATGCTTAACAGCATGTAGAACCAGGTAGTCATAGGGTGGCATTTGAGGAACCATGAGTTGGTGGTAGTCAGGAAACCGACCGTGACTAGTTCCCAGGGATGGAGATACTGCGTTACCCACACAAATGGACTGTTGTATCGGTGGTGCACTGCGTGGATGTGCTTGTACAGAAAACGCACCTTGTGGTGGGACCAGTGCCACACGTAGTATTGAAAGTCAAAAATTACCAAACTGGCGATTATGTGCCAGAGAAATTCCGACATGGCGGGAGCAAGATGTGGAAGCGGGGTAGGCGGGGCCCAGATCCACTGGCCAACGGCGGCAGGGAGGACGAAAAGCACATGATTCCAGAAAGTCAGTTGCAGCGTATCGTAAATTTGTGACAGCGTTACCTTTTTGTCCGTCTGAATCTTGTATTTATGGATCCATGGTAACCGTTCGCCGAGGAGATCGGCAATCATAAATGGAGTACAGAAGGAGAAATAAAACACTACGGAGAGAATAACCGGGAAGAGAGGGGATGCTATATACTCCTCCCTGCCAATTCGAAAATCCCAAATGTATTGTAGTATCCGGTGGTTGGATTTCGCAGTGTAATTTCCATGGAGGGCACCGCTTAGAAGATCAGATGTATTCCAGATTCCGCGACCGAGAGCTAAAATGTCTATAAAGCTTCCCGACGACATTTTTAACGTGAGAGTCACATTTACAGTTGTTCTTTAACTCTGCTGGTGTTTTAAATGAATTTTGTAAATAAAAAACAAAAGCACAACCCCTCTCTCCCGGTTTTCACGTCGCCGATGGTTTATATTCGTTGGCTCGACTTCCCTTGATGTTTATTATTGACAAAAATAATCTTCTACGTGGGGGCGCGCGAAGGGGACATGAGCTGCTATCAAGATAACGAATTAATGTGTGAATGTTGTATGGAACAGAGTCATGTTCAACATTTATTTATATATGTGGCCTCGTAAATGAACTTCAACTGAAATTTAATCTTTAAAATATATACATATAAATATGGGTTTAAATCAAGCTTTATAATAAGTAGGTCAATTTGTCTGCATACAATTTTAACAAGCAATTTAACAAATTTGAAGACTTTTTTTTTTTAAATATTGAGTTCTGATCTATTTAGAAATTAAATCTTTTTATGTCAAATGTGTCAGCTTCTTTAAAAGCACTGCACTTTTTCTCTGCCCCCCCCCCTCTCTCTATATATAAGGAACTGATGTTTTATGCCTTTTTCTTCGTTCAATCTGATCTCAAATAATTTTTTAACGAAACTTTGTTTCACTTCTGCACATGTTTATGCAACATATTTCACTATGCCCTAAAAGTCCCTAAAATCAATTTTTCTAAGGGAATTAATTGTCATTCTTTAGTTAAACGACTATACTGATATTTTTTAAAGGGACTTTGACACAGATTTGATGTTAACATTTTCTAATGTTTATTGTAACATTGTTTAATGTAACATTTTCCAAAATTGTTTTTAGAGCATTTCAGACTGATATATTATAAAGGGACATTTCTAAACTTCTCTAATATGAAATTTTGTAAACTACGATTTTCAGGACGCGTTTGATTGACGCACATCCTTGCACTTTCACGAAGTATAATTTATTCTTAATATTTAAGAGAAGTGGAAAATTTGTTGTGTATTAATAAAAATATTAAAACTATAATCTAGAAAATTCAGAGTAAAAATGTTAGAAACCAAAACCAACAGACCAGCGTTGTCAGTTCGCGTTCAGTGATGTGTTCTGAATTAACACACCCTGAAAAACGTAAAGAGCTCGTGCCCATGTTTACAAACACAGATAATTGACCTAATGTTATGAATAATGTTGTTGCCACTGAACTTTAAGAATGTGCATGTAAGTTCAATTCATTAAACTGAAGTTATTTCCTGAATAAAAATAGAAATTTAAAATTGTGAACAAAGCGGCAATATATGCAACCGTGTGCAGGCCGCTCGAAAAAGTTTACAGCCAAATTGGATTAATTCCGTTCGATAGCACACTTTGTAGTTTCCGCACTGTGCGATACAGGTGACGTCACAATATCTCGTATCAAAGACCGGTGTTGTATAGTGAGACTTGCTATATCGTGGGACTTGCTGAGCACTATATAGCCAGTCTTCCGTGGGGGAAGTCTCACTATATAGCCAGTATTCCCTGGGAGTCTCACTATATAGCCAGTCTTCCGTGGGGGAAGTCTCACTATATAGCCAGGCTTCTCCATTTCATTTAGAGGCTTATCCCTTCAATTTAGTTTTTCGAATAGTTCTTTTCGGTCTTTTCTCACTATATAACGAATCTTCTAAGGGAACCTTCATTACATAGCCAGTTATCCGGGTAGAAGTCTCACAATATATCCAGTCTGCCGGGGGATGACTCACTGTGTAGCTAGTCTTCCGGGGGAAATCACTAGAGGGAAATCTCACTATACAACAACAACAATGAAGCAGCGCATTTACATATTTTTCTTCAATTTCTATGATCTGTGGGTCTTCTCTTCATTATTTACAAATGTTTGCTCCTTTTGTTGAATTCATCGTCTCAAGCCACGGTCCGAAGTCTGATCTAGCTCTCTGTCCAGAATGGAGAGGATCGTACTTTTGGGCTTTGGTGTAGATTGAGACGATGTGTTGAGTAAAAATGCACACAAATAACGTTGTAAATCGTGGAGAGATGACCCAAATATTTTCTAGAAAAAAAGAGATATATGATAAATATATGATGTGGACTGCTGGCCGGTGGAAATGTTACGTTTATTCTTCAGAAAGATTAAGTCAATATAAAACCCACTTCAACCTGATAAAAAGTCCATAATTTTAAAAACTTCTTACTACCAGATTTATTCCTCACAGCACCTTCTATGCGGGATTGAATTCTTCTGTACTGGTTTTTCTTTCCTTTTGTACTTTTTCAACACGGGATTTTCATTCTTCTACCACATGGTTTTATAGATCACTTAAGTCACTCAACTAGGTGGCTATTGCTTTATCAAGAACTCAACCTTTTACCAAAATTGTGAAATTTTTTGGTCGTTCTTTATTTTGTGCCAAAAATGTAAAACTCTTGGCCTCTTGATTCATGGGTCAGATCTTACGGTGCAGCATTGTTGGTCATATATATTGAGAATACATGTTTGAAATATTCCTCTCGTCTCATATGTATTTAGAAAGCAAACTGTTATAATAAACACTTAGCCCTTTACCAAAATTGTGAAATCCACACCCCCTGGATCTATTATGGACCACGTTGCTTAAGGTGTATATTGAAAAAAAATGCACCTTTGAAAATTCCTTTAACTTACTGACATCTAGTAGGCAAACTGTTTGCATTATTACAATGAGTACTAAACTCTTTACCAATATTGAAGAGATCCAATGAATCCTTGATGAAGGCCCAGACTAGGCTTAGTTGGTCATGCATTAATAATACATTACATACAATCGTTTCTTTTTTTAATGATAGGACACGTAATGGGCAAATTGATTATATGATTACAATTAGTACTTAACTTTTTACCAGAATTTTGAAACTTACTCCTTGGTCCAGTGTTCAGATTCCAAGGTGGGATGCAATTCGACATATATTGAAAATACATTTCACCTTTGAAAATCATCTCCTTCACTCCTTGGCATCTAGCAGACAAATTGTTTGAATGATTATAATTAACACAACCAAACTGTAAAATTTATGGTTCTCTGGTCCTAGAGTAGGGATAGTTGTATATTGAAAATACATGACAAGTTTGAAAATCGCATTAATCATGGACACATTGTAAGCAAATTGAATAATAACAATAAGCAGCTAGTCCTCTACAAAAAAAAAACAAAAAAAAAAAAACAAAAAACAAAAAACAAAACAAAACACGTCCCCTGGATGCAGGGATCAAGCAATAGCCGAGGCAAGTTTGTTATATATTGCTGTTTAATATACAATGTACTTAAGTTATCTTCTCTACTGTAGAAGACCAGTGGCATGAGTATGGAATCTTGAATTCTTCTTTATTGGTTTTGAATTCTTCCGTACAAGCGTAAAGGTTTTGAATTCTTCTTTACGGGTTTTGAATTCTCTCAGGGGTTTTGAATTCTTCTGTAAGGGTTTTGAATTCCTCTGTAAAAGTGGACAGAATTTGAATATTTCTGTACGTTTTTTTTTCTGTATACTGTTTGACGTCTTCGTTTTAAGCTTTGTCTTAGCCGAGATCATTTCTTTAGATTGATAAAATCTTATATACTACTCTCAGCAAAATTCAATGATCTGTCTAAATCCTGATCTGTAGTATACCAGTGCATGTAGACAGTATCAGATCTAAGACGTAAATGAAAATGTGCTTCTTAACTTTTAATTATAATGACATAAAAAAAAAATGTGTTGGTGATAAAAACTAAGCTGAATTTAATTGCGCACACTTTCAGACTTTCGTTTTAAGATACTAACTTTATAGAATTTTATTTGGATGAGTTTAGTATCAAGAGAAGAATTTGATTTCTCTGGTAGATTCTCGAATTTTCTGCTGTAATTGAAGGTTCATATCGCATGAAAGCGATCGAATTTTCTCGCATGTACCATGCTTATCGGAAGCAAGTGGGGGTATGTGTATTTAGTGAACTAGTTTTTGGTCAAATATTAATCAAATGTACATAAATATCCGTGTATATTCAAGTTAGTTACGGTATTTACTGGTTAGAAAAAAATATTAGTAAATAAATTGAAATTCAGTATTAAAGCCGGTAAATGCTGTGATAGATCCAGAAAAAAGGATAAACATACTTGAAAGTACATTACATTATACTTCTACAACAAATTATTTCAAATATTTTTAAAAGGTGTATGTCAATGTAGTGAAGAATATTCTACATTTTTCGTTGCATATCAGCATAGTTTATCAATATTATAAATATATTATCAATATTGCAAAAAATATGCATATATTATATATGTGATCTGCCAATTTGTTACATTTGATTTAGATATCGTGTTGATGTTTTTGGTACTCTTATACTAGTGGACGATACCATTAATTTGATATGAAAGAACACACATTATCAATGATGCATTTTGAGGTAATTTGAATTTCACATATTATTACATGAAATTTATGGAGATAACAAACAGTATTCAAACTCAAAAATCCATTAAACAACACAAATTTTGGAGCAGAGCAAACATGGACCTCTAAAACATCAGAGGTGGGATCATGTGCCATGGAGGAGTGAGCATCCCCTGCCAACCGATCACACCCGTCGTGTGCTCCTTGTTATGATCGGGAAATAACGGAAAAATCCGTCGACAATTAGTATGAAAAGCGTCAGTCAGCATTTGACTTAATGATAAATTGTTGCAGACAAGGTCATTGTATCGACCATAAAACTTACAAAATGACGACTTTAAACGAGATTGCTAACTGCTATTCTTGTTTCATCAACTTGTCAATAATTAACTTACCAAGTTTTAGAAATCGTTCATACGTAGAGCATGCTCTTGCGTATCGAATCAACTGAAAGATATAAACCCCGTATGCAGGTGATGAAAGAATATTGCTGCATAAGTAAGGGAAGTTGACGGTTGAAAAGTTAAAGACATCACGTTTATCATAAAGCTTGGTTGTTAGATTACCATTAACGTCTTTTTCTAGTAAAATATCCAAATATGAAACAGATGTCTCAGACTGTATGGTACCTTTATTTCAAGCTCATTGGGATATATCGTAGCGACATAAGAATGGAAATAACCCTTGTTAATTGGCAATACGTAGTCGATATATCGAAATGTCGAGTTGAAGGCCACAGCAAGTGTTTTCTTCTTTTCACCTATAAGATTTTGAACAAATTCTG